ACTCCAGTTAGGGATAATATAAACACCAAGGTCCAGACCATAAATCATGAAATTTATGCAGCAGAAATTACCAGGGACTTGGGGGAGTACTGAAGGAAAACACCTCTTGGTTTAGGCTTGGTCTGAGGGAAGAGTACAGCCCAATACATGTTGGAAGCTTAGTGTAGTCCACAGGATAGGAAGAAAAAAATTCGTTCTGATCAAAACTGGACTAAGATAACACATTTTAATGCTGCTTTTGGCCTTAGAGTTGCCATGCTTTTCACAGCTAAAGATACAGGATCAGTGCTGGTACATTTAAATATCTGAAAAAATGAGAGGAATTAATATAAGCCGTTGGCTGAACTGTGCTTTGTTTGGGAAAGACTTGTAATAAAACTGGCTCTGTGAAGGTTATATCCCTCCTCCACTGCCCAGGTTTTAAAGCTTGCTCTTGACATGCACATTGGAAGATCAAAGGATGAGGAGATAACTTCTCTTTTGTTGGATGCTTACTCACTTTTATAACCCTCATAGCCTTCGGTCAAGTTTACACCTGGAAAGCACTTTTGTAGCACGGGTGTTTTCCACAGTATGGAAATTACCAGGGTGTATTAGGTAGGGGGAGATCTCCTTCACGATAGCTTCTGAGTCTGGAAGACAAATAGTGTTTTTCTCGCTTAAATTTTGGTAGCTAGAACTTGTCAGCTGATTGAACAGCACCTTTTGGATGCTGAGTGTGTAGGTTTGCAGCCCCTTGGCCGTATTGCTTGTGGAGTCTGCACAAAGTTTGGGTGTTGTTCACAGGTGTGGAGCCACAGGCAACTGCAGTCATTATTCTGTGTTAAACCAGAGTCATCCTTTCCAGCTGGACTAGAGCATATTCCTGTTTTTTTTACCTGTAAGCTTTTCAGAGCAGCTGTATGGTATGGTGCTTGTATTTTCTCAGCCATGGTTGCTTTGATGTCTTCTCTGGGGCTGTGACCCCTCCCTTGTTTAGAAGCACTTGTACAGCCAGCAAAGCCATCCTTCCAGTGCTGAGGGCAGATAGGCTTTCCTGGGATTTAATGTGTATTTTACAGACCACCTAATAGTGATATTTTGAACAGATGATTTTGTTTCCCGCCGCTCCCGAGTGCCAAGTGGTGTTCTGCAGTTTGATGCAGATAATGCTGTCATGTGATGCTGTGTTTTGATAACAAAAAGGAGCTGGAAATTAATACTTAACTCAAACCAGTGATCTTGGCAGTTGTGGGTATGGTGTGTATGCCAGTGTTTTAATTGGAGTTGGGAACATGCTTCTAAGTCTACAAAAACATGTAGATGTGGCACATAGGGACAAAGTTTAGTGTTGGACCTGGTTAGACCCAATGGTCTTAGAGGCCTTTTCCAGAGTGGATGATTCCATGATTCTGTGACAATCCTGCGTGTCTCCACCTCTGTGCTTGGGGTGGGAGAGGTGGCACAGGCTCCCTTTGGAGGAGGGTGAGTGCAGAGATGAGCTCTAGGGCATGTCCACTGCCTCTGAGTTTGTGATTGGATTGTGCTTCTGTCGCTAATGAGTGTTCAGAGATTGATTAATAAGAAGCTAAATCGGGACCCTCCACTGAATTAGCAGCTCTCAAGAACATGAGACAGAAGAGCACAGCTGATGCAAGCAAAAGCAGCAAGGTCTAGTTGGGAGTGTGTGCTTGTGCTTTTGGCAAAGTACTGCTGAAAGGGTGGAGTCTCCCAGGAAAAGCTTTTGTGAAAGTGAAGAAAATCCTGTCTTCACTCCATAATCTACCATGCATGCTCGAACTGGTGGGAGCTCAAGCCCAGTAGCCCCCCCTGCCCTGTTTCATGAGGACTGTCAGGTCCTTCCATCAAATCCACAAAATCTGTTTTTTCTCCTGTCTTTGAAACTCTTGCAAAAATCTGTTATGTTAAATACAACTCTGCTGTTTTCCATGAGGACGATAATGAGCTGGGAAAGCTTCCCAACTAGTGGAAAAGGGTGTGTTAATCTGGAAACCTTTGGGTAGTTTGTCTGTGTTTGATGCTTTTATATCAAAGTTGATTTCCCCAGACCTCAGTGCTGACAAATATGGATAATGAGGGATAGCGAGTACCACTGTAGCTCTGTTAGGTTGTTTTTTCCCTGGTGCAGCCTAGTTTATCTTCTCTTATCTCCTGAAAGCTATTCTTAGTAAGTGGTTGTTTTTCTTGAATTACGTGAGTGAATAATCACTATTTCATTCACTGTCCTTACATATGTTTAAATATAGTATTAACCTAATCTTCTTAAATGCTTTTCCTTCTGCTGCTCCTGAGTTCCTAAAGGAATCAGGTTCACTGTTAGTATGGTCTATGAATGAACTTGCCTGAAAATGAAATACTTCTTTTGAGCTTTGGCTTGTACTTATTGCCAAGGTGGTAATTTATTCATATTTTGGACAGCAGCATCATTCTTCATACACATAACTTCTGTGCTGTCAAGAGAACTTTTTCTGTGTACAAATTCCTCAAGATACAGTCTGTGATATGTTTTATTTCCTTTTTTTTTTCCTGGATGGAAGGGAAAAGGATTGTTTGGTAGCAAACCTTTGGTTTTCCATTTGAGGAGGCAGGGAGGGAGGGAGCTCTCCGTGGTACCGAGCGGGGCCGGGACCGCCGGGCTGCGGGTGCTCGATGCTGCTGCCGGCAGGGGAGGGAGGGAGGGAGGCTCCTCCTGCTCTCCTGGTCCTGCTACATCCCAGTCATAGAAAACACTACAGAAATTATATTTTATAGATTTTTTTAATATTAGTGTATATTATATATATATAAACAACTTCAATAAATACGGCTTACATAAATACAGCTAGTGTTCCTATAACACTGTAATTTTTTTTCTCTCATCAGTGTGTTTCAGGTCATGATGGCTAGCTGGCTTTTTTTTTTTGCAGCCCAGATAATACCCAGCTCTGATTGATAGTATTCTTAATCCCACTGCTTATTTTCCATCTCCTTTGGCCTCCTTGTATGCTTTTCCTTAGACAGAAGCTCTTCATGCACGTTTCAGTCAGCAGTTCAGCTGAAGGTGGCCCGTGACACTTTTGGGGCCAGTTTGCCCAGCCCGGGTATAAACACCCACAGCTTCTCTGAGCAGTTGTGATGCCCTTGCTGACTTTCAGCAGAAGCCTTTTTCGAGTTCAGGGTTCACAGAGTAGCCAGTATTGGAAGGGACCCACAAGGATTATTGAGTCCAGCTCCTGGCCCTGCACAGGACAACCTCAAGAAGAGCTGTGCCTTGTTCTCCTTCCAATATGTTCTTTGTTCAATAGATTTACTTTCTTTTAAAGTTTGCTTTCCAGACGTAAGTGAGGTTCCCCAGTAGCCCTGAGAACATTTTCTGAGTAGCTGCTCTTGATGGCTTTCAGTGAATATGGAAGGAACTAGAAGTACAACATTTGATTATTGTAATAAAAGCTCTGTTGAGGAATATGGCTATTGACTGTTACTCTTTTGCCAGAGTATCACCTGATCTGTAGGACAGCCTAGCTGAAGCAGGCTGCTTTTAAAGCTAAAAGAAAATAGCCAATATTTTGAAGGTCATAGCTTTTAGAGTGCTGTGGTAGAAAGTGGGGAAAGGAATTTTTCTTCTGGTAGCTTTGAGTGTAGCAGAGCTCCTCAGCATTGTTTATGGCTTTGCCTTGGGTGTTTGTCCATCACTATGGGTCACAGACCATCCTTGCCATCTTCTAGTGTTTTTTTTGCCTAGTTTCAGTATGTTGCTGTAGTCCAAATTTGACATAAATTGTAAAACCACAAAATAATAGAAAAATTATATTAATGGGTATTTTTCCATCCAGTGGTATTTAAATTCATACAAACGCCTCTTGCTCCAGCAGTTGCTTGGCAGATTGCTGGTGAATACTACTTTAATGTGTGTGCAGTGGGGTAGTTTTGAATAAATGACTTGTGGATCTATCTTAGGAGGCTGCTGATGTTCTTTTTGGAGGATTTCACCTCCCAGAGCTAAGTCTTGGTTTCCTGTGCAGTGCATGTTCACAGTGCATAGGTTTTATCCTT